TGTCATCATCATTCTCGTGCGGATGATCACCAGGACCCTCCAGGTAGGTACTTGCAGGTAAGCTCACGTTTGACCAGGTGTGCTGACGTCGTTCTCTTCCTCGTAGGGTATATATACTTTATCTATTTTATTTTATTTTTCATTTTTTTTTTTTTCACCGGTTAACCACACGACCACTCGATAGTTTTTATCTGTCCAGATCTTGCTCTTCCAAAACACTTGTCCCAACAATATCTACCTGTCCTGCTCATTCGGTCTTTGCTCGATGTTTATAGGCCTCACGTACTTTGATTTTCAGGCTTTATCTTTTTTTTATCGTTTTCCTTCAAATCGCCAGCCGCGCCCGTCCTCCCAACCAACCCTTTTTTATCTGCGCCCTTCCAGGCCTTCTCCGAGACGCTGCTGCACAAGACGCACGAGCTGAGGTTCGAGAAGAAGCGCTCGGACAAGCTGCTGTACCAGATGCTGCCGTCCAGCGTGGCACACAGCCTGCGCATTCCACAAAACGGTGGCTGCAGAGACCTACTCGGCCATCACCATCTACTTCAGCGACATCGTCGGCTTCTCCGAGATGGCCAACCAGAGCACGCCCATGCAGTGAGGGAGGCGGAGGGAGGGAGGAAGGAGAGAGAGAGGGAGGCGAGAAAGGAGAGAGAGAGGAGAGGGAGAGGGGGTGAGAGAGAGAGAGAGAGGTGGTGAGAGAGAGAGCAGAGAGAGGTGGTGAGAGAGCAGAAGGGGAGGGGGAGAGAGAGCAGAGGGGAGGCGAGGGAGAGAAGAAGAGGAGAGAGAGAGAGGTGGTGAGAGAGAGAGAGAGAGGTGGTTGAGAGAGAGAGAGGGGGGGGGGGGGGGGGGGTTGAGAGAGGACAGAGGGCAGGGAGGCAAACTGAGAGAGAGAGGGAGGGGGGTTAGAGAGAGAGAGAGAGGTGGGTGAAGAGAGAGAGGTGGTGAGCAGAGAGAGAGAGAGAGAAGAGAGAGAGGGGTTGGTGAGGGAGGAGAGAAGAGAGAGAGAGAGAGAGAGATGTGAGAGAGAGAGGAGAAGAGATGAAGAGAGAGAGAGAGAGAGAGGAGAGAGAGAGAGAGAGAGAGGGAGAGGGTGGTGAGAGAGAGAGCAGAAGGTGGTCGAGAAGAGAGAGAGAGGTGGTGACGTGAGAGCGACGAGAGAGAGGTGGTGAGAGAGAGAGAGAGAGGAGGTGGTGAGTCAGAGAGAGAGAGAGGTGGGTGAAGAGAGAGAGAGAGGTGGTGAGAGAGAGAGAGTGGTGGAGAGAAGAGAGAGAGAGGTGGTGAAGAGTAGAGAGAGAGAGGTGGTGAGAGAGAGAGAGGTGGTGAGAGAGAGAGAGAGAGGTGGTGAGAGAGAGAGAGAGAGAGAGAGAGAGAGAAGAGAGAGAGAGGAGAAGAGAGAGAGAGAGAGAGAGAGAGAGAAGAGAGAGAGAGGAAGAGAGAGAGCAAGAGGTGGTTGAGAAGAGAGAGGAGGTGGGTGAGAGAGAGAGAAGAGGTGGTGAGAGGAGAGAGAAGAGAGAGAGCAGAGCGAAGAGAGAGAGAGAGAAGAGAGAGAGAGAGTGCTGGTGAAGGGAGAGAGAGGTGGTGAGGAGAGAGAGAGAGGTGGTGAGATAGAGAGAGAGAGAGGTGGTTGAGAGAGAGGAGGAGAGCGAGAGAGAAGAGAGAGAGAGAGAGAGAGAGATGAGAGAGAGAGAGAGAGAGAGGAGAGAGAGAGAGAGAGAGAGAGAGGTGTGGAGAGAGAGAGAGGTGGGTGAGAGAGAGAGAGGTTGGATTAGAGAGAGAGAGAGAGAGAGGGTGGTATAGAGAGAGAGAGCGAGANAGTGACCCTCCCTCATTCCCTTTGCTTCGCAGGTCATCTCCTCATGAACGCTAGTGACCTCCCTCATTCCCTTTGCTTCGCAGGTCATCTCCCTCATGAACGGCCTAGTGACCCTCCCTCATTCCTTTGCTTCGCAGGTCATCTCCCTCATGAACGGCCTAGTGACCCTCCCTCATTCCCTTTGCTTCGCAGGTCATCTCCCTCATGAACGCCTAGTGACCCTCCCTCATTCCTTTGCTTCGCAGGTCATCTCCCTCATGAACGGCCTAGTGACCCTCCCTCATCCCTTTTGCTTCGCAGGTCATCTCCCTCATGAACGCCTAGTGACCCTCCCTCATTCCTTGCTTCGCAGGTCATCTCCTCATGAACGCCTAGTGACCCTCCTCATTCCCTTGCTTCGCCAGGTCATCTCCCTCATGAACGGCCTAGTGACCTTCCTCATCCCTTTGCTTCGCAGGTCATCTCCCTCATGAACGGCCTAGTGACCTCCCTCATTCCTTTGCTTCGCAGGTCATCTCCCTCATGAACGGCCTAGTGACCCTCCCTCATTCCCTTTGCTTCGCAGGTCATCTCCCTCATGAACGGCCTAGTGACCCTCCCTCATTCCTTTGCTTCGCAGGTCATCTCCCTCATGAACGGCCTAGTGACCCTCCCTCATTCCTTTGCTTCGCAGGTCATCTCCCTCATGAACGCCTAGTGACCTCCCTCATTCCCTTTTGCTTCGCAGGTCATCTCCCTCATGAACGGCCTAGTGACCCTCCCTCATTCCCTTTGCTTCGCAGGTCATCTCCCTCATGAACGGCCTAGTGACCCTCCTTCATCCTTTGCTTCGCAGGTCATCTCCCTCATGAACGGCCTAGTGACCCTCCCTCATTCCCTCCGCCTTTCAGGTCATCTCCCTCATGAACGGCCTAGTGACCCTCCCTCATTCCCTTCGCATTCGTCTCCTCATTCCGTTCAGGTCATCTCCCTCATGAACGGCCTAGTGACTCCCTCATTCCCTTTGTTCGCAGGTCATCTCCCTCATGAACGGCCTATACCCTCCCTCATTCCTTTGCTTCGCAGGTCATCTCCCTCATGAACGGCCTAGTGACCCTCCCTCATTCCTTTGCTTCGCAGGTCATCTCCCTCATGAACGGCCTAGTGACCTCCTCATCTTTGCTCGCAGGTCATCTCCCTCATGAACGGCCTAGTGACCCTCCCTCATTCCTTTGCTTCGCAGGTCATCTCCCTCATGAACGCCTAGTGACCCTCCCTCATTCCCTTTGCTTCGCAGGTCATCTCCCTCATGAACGGCCTAGTGACCCTCCCTCATTCCCTTTGCTTCGCAGGTCATCTCCCTCATGAACGGCCTAGTGACCCTCCCTCATTCCCTTTGCTTCGCAGGTCATCTCCCTCATGAACGTGCTCTACAAGATGTTCGACTCTCGCATCGACTGCTACGACGTCTACAAGATCGAGACGATTGGCGACGCCTACATGGTGGCCTCGGGGCTCCACATGCGGGAGGAAGGTGGGTCCGGCTCGCCTCCTTGGCTGAAGAAGCTAGTCGTAGAGCGAGCAAAGTTATTCTGGCGATACCTATGTAATCATATCCCGGAATGCCGGTTATTCCTTACATACATATATGCACGTACGTACACAAACACGCACACACAGAAAAACAAACGATCGCCACGCACGCGCCAAAACCCCTACTTTCATGAGCGCTCGTATCCCTCCGCCAGGTAAGGACCACGCGGCCGAGGTGGCAGCCATGGCCATAGACCTGCTCCATGGCACTGAGAACTTCGTGATTCCGCACATGCCCGGGGAACGCCTGCAGATCCGGATCGGCATCCACACAGGCCCCGCCGTTGCTGGGGTCATCGGGACCAAAATGCCGCGCTACTGCCTCTTCGGCGACTCCGTCAACCTCGCCGCCAAGATCGAGGCCACGGGACTACGTGAGTATTTTTTGCTTCTAAACTTTTTTTGTCTGTCTATTAATCTTCGCTTCCTTGATTTTTCACTACATTCAAATCAAAGCGTAAATACTTTTCTCAGTACTTTGATGGGTTTTAAATAAGTATCCAATGCTCTACGAAAAAAAAGAAAAAAAGAAAGAATGGATTTTGTTGACATCTTGCATTTTCTCTCCACAGCCTTCAAAATCCACATTTCACAAGACACCAAAGACTGCCTCGATCGTGTCGGAGGATTTATCGTCAAGCTTCGTGGAGAATTGGAAATTAAGGTTAGTCACACAGGTGTCATTAACCGATAATTTCCTTTAGTTACCCCGTAAAATCATAAAGTCGCGTTTTCTTTTAGACTTCAGTTACCAAGGCCAGTGAGTAGTCTCTGCATAACAAGAATGATTTTCAAAATATAACGTTACCTGCAAAACACAAATAAAACACACTCATAGATAAACAAACGCACACAGACACACACCCACGTGAAAACATACATGAGCACAAACACACATACATACACACATACACAAACACACACACACACCACACACACACCACACACACACACATACACACGCACACGCACACGCACACAGCACACGCACGCACACGCACCACACCCACACCCACACCCACACACACACACACACACACACACCCACACACACACACACACACACACACACACACACACACACACAACACACACACACAACACATACACACACACACACACACACACACACACACACCACACACAA